TTAACAAATCAACATGTTGCAGCATAAGGGAATTTTGGGGGAATCTTGTCTCTGTTTAGAAAGATTGTCTTGACAACTACACTTGAAAAGCAAAACACTGTTCATTAGAATTTACTGGAACTGAAGTTGTTCTTAAAGCTGATGATGCCATCCTGGGGTGTTTCATTTAGCCGAGAGAGATCCCAGTATTTCTATTGTGTGGTAAAGCATTTAATGGATGCCAAATCAAACTCTTGACCTTTCTGTAATTCAGCAGAAAAGTAAACTAGATACTGGGAAACAGAATCAAACCTTTCTGATAAATATGTCATTGCTTTGCTAATATATTGGAGGTTTTTCTCCCCCAACACTAACGTAAAACAAGAACAGTAGGTAAGTTGGTGTAGGTTTTAACCAGATGAAAACTACTTCCGCTTTGTTTGTTAAGTATAAGAATGACCACAATAGATGAGAGGAAATGTCCAGCCAACCCAATACCCGCTCTGTGGCAGTGGCCAACATAGCATGTCAAAGAAAGAGCTAAGCAAGCACAAAGTGATAATTATGAAGAATACCCTCCTATACTCCACAAATATGTGTCTCAGGGATCCTGATGTGATGCCTCTGGATTCACTATCTCTGTGGCATTGTTGTTGTTGTTATTAAGTTGAAAGGGCATATGGATCATGGTTGCAGTCAGTATGGAGAAGAAATAAACCTAAAAGAGAAGTTAAAAGACCTTGAAGACTGATGAATTTAATTCTCTTCATGACTTTCTGTTGCAGCTCAGCTGTTGCCAGCAGATGAGCTTCCTCTTCGCTGCCCCTTTTCTTTTTGCCCTTTGCTGTTGCTGCTACTAGACTGTGAGTGTGACAGCTTCCTCTTACAGAAGCCAAAGGGAGATGGAAAGCAGAGCACTGAGTGGGAGAGGAAGGAGAGAAAGAAAGTGGGACTTGGAGATCATAAAGGGTGAATAGAAAGAAAGAGGATACAGAATGCAGAGAGGTGTCAGAGGGAAATGGATATGGATGAGTGAGGAAGTTGGCAATATGTGAGGTAGCAAGTGAAAAAATGAGTGGGATAATATTTGTACCTCCAGATCCTGGAGGTAAAGTAAATTAAACACAACTAAAGATACTGGCTGGCCTTTGTGACTGAAAGAGTTAAACCACTGGGTATAAAGGATTCCTTACTGTACTGTTCTGGGCAAACCATGGAAAGGATGTCATGCTTCTGAATTTTATTTGTCTTGAAGGTGGTACTTGGACATCCTCGTATCTCAGAGTCTCCTTTAAATGACATTGCTTGCTGGAGTAGAAGAAAAGTTTCTGTCCCTAGTCAGCTTTGATCCCTCCCCTCTTTTTGATGCTACTGTTTACTCCATGAACACTGACTACTGTCCTAAAACTAACAGAACGGGGACCACACTACTACAGAAATAACTAGCAAAATCCCGGTTTCAAGCCGTTGTCTATTTCCTTTAAGCTTCATAAATAGCATAGGTAACCTTAGATGGCCATTACTGTTCTCTCTCTTCTCTCTTCCGTGTCTTTATATTACCTTTTATCTTTAAAAATTCTCACGTTTCATGTTTGTACAGCACAGCAGAGAGTAATTCTACGCCACTCTACTACAAGCACCACCGCAGCTTAATAAATATCTAGACAAGTAATAATAGAACAATGCAGCGAGATGTAAACAAAATGAAACTAATCTAGTTTGGCAAACACATATGTGCATGTTTCAAAGAACTAATTCAGACCATTCAGTATACTTCCTAGCACAGGGAAATCCTGGTCCATGTGAGTGGGGTTCTTAGCTGTTAGGGCAACACTAATGCCAAAGCAAGCATTTAATTCATTATGAAATGCATATGTTCTTAAACCACCTTTCTGAATAAGTATGTGGAATGGAACTGGGTATTAAGTGGAATCTGACTTTACAGTAATCCCAGTTGTTCCAGGAGAGCTATTTATGAGTTTAGAATTTAATAAATTCTCAAGAATGTTGCTGAGTTGACAGCTAAGAACCAGTACCCCACAACCCCAAAATGGAAATATTATTAATGATGTGCAATCAGAAAACTATAAAAAAAACAAAACCAAAAACAAACAACAGACAATGGAGGGGAAAAAAGAGGGAGAGAGAGTAGGCAGAGTAGGATTGCTCTCTTCCTGCTGCTCGTTCCCTCCTATAAAGGACTGTTACTCATGCTGTTGCATGATTTTTACAGAAATATTTCAACCAAAACTCCCAGTCCTTGTTCTGTGTTCCAGTAGCTTTCACATAGCTTCCAAACAGGGTGTCTTGATTACTTATATTGATTGTTTCTTCAGAGAATACATTTCTGATGAGGATTTACTTTATCTACCAGCAATTATTTTACAAGGCTCTGATCTGTCAGCATGTGCATTGTGTTGGGGTAGAGCCAAGACCACACCTCAAGGACGTTTTTAGGCACAATGCTGCAGGTAATACAACTCATCCACAATGGCAGTCTCTGTCTGACTGTTTGCTCTGTATGCATTCAGTTTCTGTGACGCTTGTTAAATATCTAAGCCTTTGTCAAAATGAATAAGAGATTTATTCGCAGGGATAAAATGACAACTGCTCTCAACCTTTGCAGAACTCAAGGGCAAAGCAGTTTTTCCAGTTAGAAGAAGGACTTTGTCCACTACCAGCAACTAATAGTGTCACATGCATGGGTAGAAGTGGAGGACCCTGAAACAACCTACCATGAAACCAGATTCAGTAAAACAAGCAACAACCACCACGCTAAACACACCAATGTTAACACCAGAGAAACCAATCTTCCTGCAGGGAACAATCCCTCAAGACCCAGGAGCCTTTCTGGGATGTGTTTAGAGGTAAAATACTGACTGCTTGTTTAGAATTTGTCTACATGGTTGTTGCATATATATGTGACTTATACGCAGTGTAGAGACATGTAAATGTAACACTACAGTGTGCTCTACCTGAAGTGAAAAAACAACATTGCACCAGTACAGCTAGTGAGAGTGAGTCCTGCAAGTCCCTTTCACATCTAGCAACATATATATATATATATATATATCTGTAGTAGTACTGATTGTTTAGAGTGTCTATAGTGGAATAAAAGTATATGGAGAAAGCAAGCCTTTAAACATATCGCTAAAATAATGCTGTATTTTTCTGGATGCAAATGTTTTCCTGATGCTGACTGTGGGCCAAATTCTGTCCTGACTGTGCAAATCCAGTCCTCCTGGCTTTAGCTGAATGGGCTAGAAGAGTAGGATTTGGCTGGATTTCACCACTTCCTCAGATATACTTATCTAAGAAATAGTTCTCTGATGGCAAAACATTTAGTCACCTTTTTTTGAAGCTGACTGTACCAAAAAGCTTGCCTAATTTTTCTAATTATGCCAGCTGAGCCAATAAAACATTATCTCTACCTGCAAACCGTATGTTACCTATGACCTTAATTTGAGAGAGAGAACACTTGATAGACTTCAAAGAAGTAATAGTACAAGTAGCTCTAGATTGATTACTGAAAATAAGAGGAAAAAAAAATGATTGAAATACCAAACAAAAGTAGACAATAAATCTGCACTTTCCCTGTAGATCCTTTCCCTTTTGGGATCCTTGTGCACTAACCAGAAAGTATTCTTAACATGAGAGTGCATATATATAAATGCAGATTGCCTAACACAGAGGAAATATCTGAGTCATGTCCTAGACGAGACACAACATTTTGGGAAAAAGGAGCAAAATAACCTGTAGCCTTGAGCAAAACAGTGTTTGCTGTTGTACCATACAAAAGTTTAAGTTTGACAAGATAGACCAATTATCTTCTACGCAACTGCTGACAGATTAATAAATCAAATACACAGCTGTGAAACTTCCTGTGTGCTTCTGAAAGCAGATAGCTATATTTCCTGGAGACTAATACCATACTTTCTGCAGAAAAGTGAAAGCTTCTGGATTTCATTTAAAATATAAATACACATTATTATTAAAAATTAATATGCTTAAGCTATATATTTCAAAACTTTAATAAAACGTACATGTCAGCAAACAGAATGAAACAGTCAATAGCCTATATCATATAACAGAAGAAATGCAATGTAATAATCAGTGCAAATATGCATTAAGCTGCATGATACAATGGATATTAAGAATGAAACAAAGAATAAATAACAAGACAGACATAGCCTCAAGAAATATAAACAAGGCTAGAATTGCTCTTTTACTAAGGTGACAAACGGGCTATCCTTGCATACATTCTGCTGTTCCCTTGTAAGTGTTTGATCTCAACAGTCATCACTTTTGCAGTCAGGATATCTGAGTTCATTGGTATGACAAATCAGATTCTCAGCAGTGCCAGAACACTGTTTGGCACACCTTATGGAGAGGAATATGTACAGCTTTGAGCCTTTCCTATATTGCCCTGATTGAGCCCTTTGTCTAAACTAACAGAATCCTCAGCCTTGCCTGAAGGCCTTGTGAAGAGAGCAGAAAAGTAACCAGGCAGAGACAGGAGAGCATCTGCTAAGGCACAGGGATGGCTGTAAAATGCAGTACCTATGCAACTTTGCTGTGTCAGGCAACCATGATCAACCAGCAAAATTTGCTGACAAAAGCAAAGAGGTTAGAAAAAGGACATGCTTTAAAAAAACAGCTGGAGATATTTTCCTCTCTTCTCTGTTAACCTTTAAAGAAGCTATAACAGTACAAAATCCCAGTGACGTTGGAAACTGGACTTTATGCAGAATGGTGGGGCAGCTTGCTTTGTTCGCCTGTGTATAAATACCATGTACTTACACTACCTGTATAAATACTGTGTGGTGTGTGCTTTGCCACAGAAGATACAGGAGGGAGCCAGGGCATGGCCATGCCCGGCTGCAGGACTGAGGGAGGCTGGCCCTGGGGATACAGCAGGGCCAGGGCAGCCCTGCCAGGGCCTGGGGGTGCTGGGGGGCAGCTTGCCACCAGCGCTTCTTCCCCCCTTTATATTTAATCTCATTTATAAATTAACAGGTTACCTTGCTGAGATGGATTAGTTGTTCTGGGGTGGAAAGCCTGTGATTTTGTTTGTGGTGCCTTGTTGCACAAGGGCAGGGGGTTGTTCCAGCCCAAACTCCTGTCAGGAAAAAAAAAAAAAAGGAACAGTTAAAGGAAAGGGGGAGAAAAAGTCCCAGGCCTTTCAGGCCTGGTTTTGGTTGCTCTGCCAGGAGCAGAAATGCAGCAAACTTGCCAAGTCTTCTCAGAATAAAGTTTCCCGAAGAGGCAGGAGTGCTGTGCTAAAGGTACGTACCTTGCTGCCTTTCTTCTGAGGGAGTGGTGATGGCAGTGAATTGTCCCCCCGGAGCTGCAGACACCCTGCGTGTGTGGTACAGGGCGCTGCCTGTCACCCCTCACCTGGGGGCTGCGCTGAGGTAAACTCTGCCCAGCAGCCCCTGCAAAGGGCTGTACCTTCCTCTGGGAGGCGGGTGACACCTCACATTTGGGAGGACATCATCCCTGGGAGCTTTACCCAGCCTTGGTGACAGCCAGGGAGCACGGCACACCTCAGGCCAGCCACCTGCGTACCTGAGGTACTCAGCTGCCAGCTGCCCAGGCGTGAGGCGTTTCCCGCCACTGGGGCCCCTGTAGGTTCAAGATGGCGTACCTGAAGGCCACCTAGGGAAGGGGGTCCTTTCTCTGTTGTATTTCTCAGGAGGACACTCCTGGAGCTAGGTGAGTTTTGGGTTGGGTCCTGGGAAGGACACAATCCCCTTTTGCCCAGCCCCTCAAAGCTCCTGTGCTGCCACCTTTTTGCAGCGTTATCTTCGATGGTTTGTGACAGCCGTGCTGGTGTTTTGAGTGGGAAAAGCTCTCTGAGGGCAGTGGGTGGGTTGTTCTCTTTCCTTCCTCTTCAAATGTTCTTACATGATGGAGGAACAGGTTGTGGCACATTCAGATAAATTTGTTTCATCCCATACTGTTTACTCTGAGCCCTGTAAAAGGAGTTTTCAAAGAGCCATGTGGGGCACAGTGTGGTTTGCTTCTTTATTATTTAATGGTGTTTGTGACTAAATTATGTGTGAGAAATTATTTCTGATGCATTGCATTAATTCTGTCTTTGACGTAACCTTTTAAAAAACCACAGTCACCAGGACTGAAGCAATTTGCTACCGGGTGGCTTTATTATGGACAGTTTCTGAATGTTTAGTTTGGCCACATCACCAGAGCAGATTAATCTCAAATAACTTAAAGTGAATTGACAACTTGAAAAAATAAACTTGCCTTTAGAAAGATGGCCCCTTTTTTATTGTTGCTATCATAAATGCAAGAACGAACACAATCCTCATGCTCTGCTTTGTTTTTGTTTCCTGGTAGATGAAGGCCTGATGCTCCTGAAAGATCACGGAACACCAGTGTGACCATACCAGAGTGAGGGTACCAAGGTAGGAGAAAATCTCTTTCTTTCTCTGGTAACTTTTGTCTGTTTATTTATTTCTGACCTTTGTATGTTGCTCAAATGTGCTTCCTCAACTGCATAAGTGAGGTGTGCTTACTCAGGCATATGGGATGTTCTGTAATATTTTCAGTTAGGGTGGATGAACTGTAAAAAAGAGTCTCCAAGACATATTCATAGTTTCCTGAAAGCCTTGGAGATTAGTCACAGTGCATATTTGTATTTTCCTCTGAGGTAAATTGAGATCCTGCTAATATCACGTCCACTGTAGTTACGTCAGTGTAATGCTGACAGGTTTTCCTTTGTGTTAGCTTTGATCGCCTTGTGGTTTAGGATTGCTGTTTTGTGTGAATTTCTGCTTCAGGAGTGAAAAAATGACTTATTTGATGCTGAGGCAGAAGCACTTACGAACTTCGTGAGGTTTGCAGGAGTTGAGCAGACCTGAGCTATTCATTGCCCTGTCCCTGCAGCGTACTCTGAGCCTGGAGAGCTGAGAAGGGGTGGATTAGGGTAGATCATGTAGTCTTTTAATCATCTGAAGTCTTCCTTGTGCCAAATAAGTGGCTGAATATTTAAATCAATTTTACAGAGCAGTTGTGTAGGATTTTAAGTATAAACAAAGGTTTGGCCTAGATTTTCACAGAAATAAATCTTTGTATTTAACGTATAAAGGCAATTTGTAAGATCAAGTATTCCCATGAGGTGCACTTTTTTTATTGTTTTCCCTCTGCTACCTGGCTTTTTTGGTGATCACACAGAAGTCTCCTCTCTTTTCCAGAGTGTGATTCAGCAGTGGCGGTGCTGGTTTTACATAGATACAACTGAAGCCTTGGTCGCCCACTTCTGTGGAAGAGTTTCCTTTCATGGGTGAGTTCTTTCACTGGTGGAAAGGCGCCGTGAATCTGTGTGGTCTGATGTCTGACTGAAGTTCATACGCTTTTTGGTGGCATTCCTTTATTTCCCTCAAGCCAACTGTTCCTCTCACAAAGATAGTGACGCAAAGAAATTCTTCAGGAAATAATTTAAGAGCAGATTTGATAAATCAATGATAAGCTAACATGGTAAGTGGCTATTCTTTGGTTATGTAAAAAGACAGGTTTTGTGAATTTTCTGCTGAACATTTGTATTCTGCTGGAAAGCTTTCTATTCTGCTGGAAAGCTTTCTTCAGAGATGCCCTTTCTGCAGGACCTCCAGCTTGCTAGGTTGAAACAAAATTACAAGCTGCTCTGTTACTTCTGGTTAGTAACTGCTCTGAATTAAGGAGCTATGTCTGTGAAACCTCTGGTGCTAACCATTTCAGACAGAAGAGAAAAGATAAATGGAAGGTAGGACTGTTGATGGGTTTGTCCTATATATACCTTTGCTGGTCCTTACACAAACACACACACATATAAAAATAAATCTACTATCTATAAGGACATAATATATATTTACAGGGGCTAACAAATTTTTTTTCTTTTATTAAATCCCAGAGTATACTGGAAATCTGAGAATGGTTTAGCTTGAAAAATCTCAACTGAGATTGAAAGTCTGGTTATTGAAATACTCATCATTAAAATCCGGACTAGGATTACTGAGGGATGAATTATATTGATCCCATAGCTTCCTTGCTAAAGGAAAAGTAGTTTTACCCGTCTCTGTTAGATCAAGTCTACTCTGACAACTTCTCTATTATGAGTGTTATGGAACTTCAGCTTGCCATGAGGTATGGGATTCAGTATTGGTTTGTGCTGTCTTCAGTCAACACAAATTTAGTGCAATTTTAATGCTCATTTCCTGTAAAATAGCAGATATCTGAATAATGGATCTGAATTTCTATTAGAATGAGGTCATAAAGCACTAAAGCATTAATAGCAAAACAAATTATAGAACTGCATCCGGTAGAATAATCTTGTTCTTCAGAATACAGGGCAACCACCATCTAATGCAAATAAGAAAGTTGGTTCTGCTGTGGCAGGACATCGTTCCATGACAGTGTTTATTATGCCTTTTCCATAGATCCTCTAACACCTACTGTCATGTTGTGTCTGCCAGTTCTCCTGTTGTGGCTGTGTTGCAGTTGGCAGTCCTGTGCCTCAGAAGGTGTGACATTGAACAATGTGATAAAGCTCAGTTTTGGCCCCAAACCTCCATAGAGTTCAGCTAAAATGGAATGAGAGATTTTGACTGGCTCCTTTATGAGCGAGGGACCAGCTGCAGGGTCCACATTTGATAGTCTCCAAAACTTACACCAGTTCCAAATTTGCCTTGGAATCAGGCTCCCCTCAAATATTTCTGGCTGTTTTTTTTTTTTTTTTTTTTTTTTTTTTTTAATTCAGTTAAAACCAGTAACAGCCACGGGGATATCCTTGCGGTTAGACAGGTGCAAGTGCAGAAGAAATGATTTAGTTTCAGGATTGGCAGCTAGACTCATGCAGTTGTCTACAGCATTTTGTGAGACTTAGTGCATGAGATGTCTATAATTGCTTATGTTTAAAAGCTTCATTTTTGACTGCCTGGACAGCCTTTGCTTTCTTAAAACAGGGGGAGGCAAAAGTGGGATTTTATTTGCATGCATGGTTGTAACAGCAGGAGAGGGGTTAGGAGACAAGAGTAAGTTTCTGTCTATTTAAAAGATTTTAACTATGTGAATAATTCTTAGGAACAACAATTACTGTAACAGCACAAGCATTTGCTGGTTCCTTATAACCAAACTGTAGTTATAAATAAGAGTTATAATGAATGCTTAAAGAAATCCGAGACTCAAGAAAGAAAATAGTTTTTGAAACACTACGGAGCAAAAAAAAAAAGTGACAGTCATGAGCACTGCATCATTTGCAAAAATGTTCTTTCTGTGCATTTATGATTGCTTTATTATTGCATTAATAATATTCAAGCAGAACTGGTTTCCTGTTCTGTTTTAAAACTCTGTTTTAATTTGGCTGGTTGCAACAGAGCTGCCCTTTTATGCAATGGTAGAACAAAACCTATTGAAGGGGAAGAAAGCTTCCTCCCTTGAGCTGGGTTTTGCTGTTATCAAGTGTGGTTTTTATTCCTGAGTTGTCTTTTATCAGCCCTTCTCCTGGGTGTAACACAACCCTGTTCAAGCCATAAACACCACTGGTGGCCTTAATGTACGCATCCGGTCATGATGACTCAGAGCAGATTAGGGGAGACAGATAACAACACAATACCTGAGGGCTATCTTGTGCATCTTGATCAACAACTGAGGGTTAGCTGACCATGAACCAACTGAAAGATGTCTAGTATGCAAATATTACTATAGGTCAATCATCTTATTCTGTAAATATTGGACAGCCCAGGGTCCGTTGAGCTCTCCTGCACAGCGGTGGGCTGCATGCCAGGATGTCCCCTTGAGCAGGGACATCTCTCAAAGGTTACTCCTCAAGGCTGAGAGATTCCTTGCCACAACATATTCTCGGTAAGTGATTAACAGCATGCTAAAGTATGAAATCTTAGCTAAGTGATATAAAGGATTGATTGCACATATATAATCCTTTAGAGGTAAACTGTTGACTAAGTCTGGGACTAGGGTAGCTGCACCTAGGCACCTCTCTGAGAAGAATTTTAGAGAGCATGGGAGTCCTTTCTGAACCTCGTGACTCAACAGGAGGGTCTCCATGACAGTTTTGTCTGACCCTGTCCTCTGCAGTAAATAATCAAGTGTACCTTGCTATCAAATCATGATCAATCACTCTTACATTAACCGTTGAACTCACTATTTTGTGTGAATAAAGTATGTTGCTGCTTCTGTAGTGTGGGTGAAGTGCATAACTAACTCTGACTCCTTCTGCGACGCTGGGTTGTTCCACAAACAATCCTAAGTCTTTCCACAGGTGTTTTCAGAACATGATATGGCTTAAAAGCTAGCTGTCCTGCTTTAGCAGTCAAATGTTTTTCTTGAAGTGAACTCCTAGGCAGTAAATCTGAATAGACATATAATTTCAGGTTATATTTTATATGTTACTTATAAATACAAAGCATAGCTGAAAAGTGATTATTAGTGGTTTGTTATTTACACTTCAGAGTTTTAACATGTTGTGTGGAAAAGGGGGAAAAAATAAGCTGGTCATGCAGTAATTAGGCTACATAACACGAGTTATGGTGGGGAGCACATGTACGAATGCCCAAGAAAGGACTGATGACAACCAATATTGAAATTCAACCTGAAACCTGTGAATGTTTTTTGTACAGCTGGAGTAAGTTCTGTCCGAAGTAGAATGATTTCTCTGCTGTAGTGTATTTGTGTTCCAAAGATGATCAGATTAAAAAAAAAAAAAGTATAAACAAGTCTCGGTGTGTTATGTGGAATGGATGCCTGCAGATTCAAGAGCAAGTTAAGTGCAAAGTTTATCCTGATGGTTTGCAAGTAAGGCAATAGTTATTATGTGGCTCATTTTGAAGTACCTTGAAAGAAACACTTTTACAGGAAACCTTTTCATACAAGCTTGTAAACCGTGAACAACGAGCCCTCTAGTGTTAGCGTTGGTGTAATATACACGAATTATCTACATAGAACCATAGAACCATAGAATCATTAAGGTTGGAGTAGTATAGTTTGGTGTGACCGGCACAGTATTCTGACTTGTGTCAATAAAGAGCTGCCAAGCCAACCACTTTCTTCCACCTAATTGTTCATTGACTTCATTATTTATCTGTGGTTTAAAAAGTTGGTGATATATTTTTGAGAGATATAACTGATCTAATTCATCCCAATGTTTAGAAAGGTTTACTTTGGAGCTATTATGCCATCTGTGTCAGCAATAATTCAGAGCAAAGATAGGTCCTGTGTAAAGGAAAATTTAGGAAGCCTCTAAGGCTGGTCTACTACATCCACTGCAGCTCTGTTTGTCATTTACTCTGTGTTTTGCTTCAGCGAGTACCTGCAGGTCCTTCCTCTTGCTCTTCATGCCCAAAGCATGTTGTCCCCTGTTCTCCTCTTGAATTGAGGGTTCCCATTTGCTCTTTCCTAGCACTGAGACTGTATCTGTGATACAGATCCTTCCTTCTCCAAGGTGGCACCTCCAGTATGTCCTCAGCCACAGGTTCTGCATGCCTCCATGGTTTGCCTTATGTTTCCCTTTGTTGTTTCCTTGCCCCCTTGTTTTCCCATGCCAGGACCGAAGTTTGTGTGTTCTTTCACTTCTCTTCCTGTTTTTCTTCTTATGCCACCAAACTCTAGGTTGGTTTTGGCCTTTGCTGTCCCTGCCATTATCACCTCTCAGTCTTCCTCATATTATTATATTATTATTCCGCATATTATGTTTCTGTCATTCCCATCTTCCTCAGCATTTTAGTTTTTCCTCTTTCAGTAAGTCGTATGAAGTGGCTGGTGGCACACACTTCATACACACAAAGTTTTCCAGGGAAGAGAGTAGCTGCTGGGATGCTGAGGTGGAGGCTTTGCATGAAAAAACAACTAATGATCTTGAAGCAACATGCAGCATGTCTGTTATTTCAGTGGTTTAACTGTGGACAAGGAGATTTTATGGACCAAAGAAGTGCATAATAATTTATTTTATATTATAGACAATCTCTTTTCCCTTTTGCAGAATGTGTGAGAGAAGAATAATTTCCTAGCTTGCCTGGGAAGGCCAGAGAACCTGTCACTTATTGAATCAGTCATGAATTCAGTAGTAGTGCTGCATTGGGAAGGGTGGGTTAGGTGGACAGGAGGGAACAGAGCAGTATGCCACCTGGGGCCTCACTGGGAAGTTGAAGAGCTTAAGGACTGGAAAAAACCATGAAGTAACAATTTGCCAAGAGGAAACTGTGAAGAGGTAGAGATTTTTGCCAGCAGGAAGTATGACGTTACTAGTGATACTCAGGGAGAACTCAGCGCTCACCTCTGGGTGGGGGAGTATATGGGTTGTATTAGTCTGTAAAAGAAAAATGGGTGAGAAAGCAGCCTGCAGAAAGCCTACGTTGTTACCCTGTTACTCCTTCTACTGAGCTGTCCAAATTGTAGGCTAGGAGAAAGGTCATCACCTTTCATTTTTTCCTGTTCCCCCTACAGATCATAGAGTGGTCATTTGTAAATTGTGTAAAACATGTTGCTTGGTGTTATACAACTTAGAGTCAGATCTGTGATGGCTGGTTTGAATTAGTATAACTAAAGCTGCACAGTAACTTGTCAAAACTTGTAGACTTAGTGCAGTTTCAGGTTTGAGATTTATGTACGTTGCAGTGGGCTCTAAAATATGAGAATAACTGGTTTGGAATACTTTGAATAATTTCTGTCTGTCAGGCAAAGAACTTTCAGAGCTATAGAATTTGCACAAACTCAAAGATGCATTTGCTTACTGGAAGCGCACTAATTGGTAGCTTCTAAAATGATGTGCTTGGAACACTTTCAGTATTTATTTTTGAGTGCCTTTCATTCCAAGCAGCATTAAAGCCCTATAGGGGGTTAGGTACCACAGTCGAGACTGACATTTGACCTGGAGCTGTTGAGAAATGGCTGTAGTAGCATGGGAAGCAAATATTTTATGGGGCCAGCATCTCTCATGTGAGTGATTCAGTGAAAAGTCAAAGGAGACACGCTGTAAAATGCTTAAAATTTATTCATCTTCCTTATGTTTTTTCATAAGGAATAAAAATAAAACAATATTCCGAAACAAAATAGAAGAAGAAAATATACCACACCCAGATAACAGGACTAGGACTAAGAAATGGGTTAACAATTCTGAAAGAAATGACCCAATAAATCAATTTTCCAAAAACAAAATAAATAGCAGTGGTTTGACTTTTAAAAGCCTCCTAGGAAAGAATTTACATTATTATTATTATTATTATTAACTTTTATTACAAAAATCCTTCATATGCCCCTGTTGGCAAAAAAATATACATATACTTCTTCTGTAAACAGTTAACCATAAACAAAAAAAATTCCATATTTTCATATAGTTACTATGCTGATGGTATTATGTAAACAAGGAGTAGTGTGCAGCAGCTTCTCATGATAGGATTTCTTTCTTTTTCTCATGAGAATATATAGAGAAATTTGTCCATCATAAATTGTTCAAAATATTGAAGTTTACCATTTTGAGAAGGTATGGCTTTCTGCAGTCTAAGTTTTCCTTAAGGCAAAAAGAAAAATAAAGAAACTGAGAGGTACAGTTTTCCTTGGGTTTTGTTTGTTTATTTTCTGGACTTTAGGTTGGGTTTTGATTTGTCTCAATGAACTGGAATGAAAATGTTATAAAAAAGGTCAGTCTATGTCAATGGAAATATTAGATATTGTCAAGTGTTTACAGTATGCCACCACAGGCAGGCTTCAAGCCAGAAAAGAATGTTATTCTCAAAATAGACTTTGTGCAAGTGTAAATCCAGCTCTCAGTTTTATGGTACAGTGCTTCCCAGAAGACAAACAAACTAACAGAAAATGTCAAAATTACCTTATGCTGTACCTTTCAAGGTACAAAAGAAAAGACATGAAAAACAATGGGAGATATATTGGTAATGAAAACTGAAATAATGTAGACAGAAATATTGAGTTTGTGTGCGGAAAATATCATCTGTTCATCCAAAATTTTAGCTGCTTTTGACACTTTTGTATTTTTCAAAGTTTTGTTTTAGTCTTATGTTCAACCCTTGTTTGACTTCTTCTTTCTAGTTCAACTTATAGACATTCAGTTGCTCCTGAAAGGCTGTTTTCTGTTTTGTTGCCTGTTGGATGCCAGCTTGGGGGATGCACTCAGCAGTCACACAGCTGCATTTCTCCACATAGGTGTATGAGTGATCAAGGTAGGTTCCATCACTGCATGTCAGAGTCACCGTTCTTTGGCTGGTCTTGATTTCCTGACAACACGAACATTTATGTTCCATGGTGTTCGCTTCCGGAGAATATCTGATTGCAAAACCAACAAAAGAGAAAGATTCAGAAATTATGTGAGAAATACCACTGCCCCTCCCACTCATTAATAAATATAACCAGAAGTTGTGTGCTTGCATGTGGGACTCTTGCTTAATATTACCATTCTTACAATATTGTAGTGAAATATGAGTAAGTTGCTCTTAATTGTAAAAATGGATGGACCTAGCTCTTCATTAAGATACAGAAAAAGTAAAATAATTAATCTGGATTACATATTAAGCCAGTCCAAAATGAGAGAATAGAGAGAAAAAAATAACCTCACTTTTATATGGGTAAAATCAAAACTCAGGTCTGTCCACTATGACACTGCACAGGCTGTTAAAATGTTGTGGGTCTTGAGGTAATTAAACTAATACAACATCATGTCTGTTAAAAGTTCTAGTTAGCACAGTGGAAATAGCTGATGACTGGGAGGATGTTGGACATATTAGAAAATCACTTGTGATTTGCGTTACATAACTAGTATAAAGAGTAGAAAACAAGAGATCATAATTATCTTTGTACCACTTACCGTGAGTAAGCATCACAGCTGCCTTCACAGTATGTCATCTCAACAGGTGCAGGAGATACACATCCATGATAGTTGATGACAGTAGTAGTATTGTGCTTCATACAACCTGAAGTTGTCACAAACCAAGGGAAAATAGGTTAAAATACATGTGTGTATAAACAAATGTATATGTATGGTAGACAGTTTGTACTAGAAAACTGAAGTGGGTGGAGCTGAAGTAGGAAATTAGGTCACAGTGCATTTCTCTTTTCATTGCTAAGGGCCAAATGATGACTCTTGCTACTTGTGTTATCAATGAATTAAAATTTCCCTTTAGTTTATGCAGCTTTGGTGCAGGATGCAGAAATAAAAAGCAGTACTGCGGCAACTGCTCAATACACACCCACCTCCCAGGACAGGCTTCACTTTCTTCCTTAAGGAGGATGTATCTATGGAAGTTGGAGAACAGTCCCACAGAAAGGCTGACATTTAACAGTAAGGGATGGGAAAGTTCACCATACCCATGTTTTCCAAGGCCCTAAAGTGTGTCCTGGAAATGTTCTGTTCCTTTCTTTTTCCACCTGTTTTCTTTCTCGCCCCAGTGTGAGGCAGTGGCCCTGGACTTGGTCTGTTCACCTCTCCTGTCTATGCATCTACCACGCAAGGATGGACTAATATACACAATAAGGCACATATTATCATTACTTACTCTTCAGTTTTACTTGGCACTCTCTACAGCAGCCATCGTCCGATAACTTGATGTCATCCTTGAGCGGGAAAACAGAAAAAGATAACTTAGGTTTCGTATCTGCATACTAAAGCAGAGACTTTCCCTGCTTCCTTGGTTTCTCTGGCACCAGAAAGATCTTTGTGTTGATGTGGAATCTAATTTTAAGCAAGGCTAATTATTAAGGGCACATAACTACTTCAATTAAGTGTTAACAAAAGTTCTTTGAAAGCTGACATTGAGGCGGACTAGAACTGCTTTGCTGTCATCACAGTTCATTAGTAAAATTTCACAAATAAAACTTGTAGCACATGTGGGATATTTTGAGTGACCAAAGTCAGTACAGGTGAAGGATTATGTCAGATATGGTAACGCAATTAATGAAATAACAGACTCCAGATGTGTGGGGCTGGTTCTAATCTACCCTGGGCTGTATTAAGTTGAATGGTATTGTGAACTGGAGTAGTTTAATTTTCTTCACCTTTTCTCTCAATAAGTGAATTGAAAAAAACAATATAACCTTAAATACTTTAGGAATAAAAATCCCATTATTTTTCAATAAGATTCTTGCTTCTAGGTCACCTGACACTTTTAGGGATCCAAAACATTACGCTGTACCCTTTTCTCTAGTGCTCAATCCTCACTGAGGATTTATGTATCACCCATTTTAATTTTTAATTGCTTTTCTGAAATGAAATTTGATGGCGACCAGATTCAGAGAGGATAAAATGAGAGCTACATCCTGTGTGATGCTTCTGCCAGGTATTTTTCTTTGACACCATGATCACCGGTGTTAGCCACTGCAACCTTTTCAAGCATGAGAACTGGTAGAAGAGTACTTACTGGATCACAGTCATCAGGGTTAAAGGGAGGACAGCTTTTCTGTAAGGCAACTTGAATGAACTGGTCATCATATTTTTCACATGTATAAGTTGTACAGTTATCATCAGGTGAGTTCCAGTATTCTCCAACCTGAAAGTAGTGAAAAAAACTGAATAAAAATCTTCTTACACAAAAACAAACAAAAAAACCTCCCAGTGTTTTCATCATTGCTGCCTAGTGCGGTTAGATTATTCTGACCAATTTCCTTGAATTTCAGCTGATAGTTACTTGTCATATTATCACACTGCTGTAAGTCTTTTTTATTAACCAAGTGGAGAGGTTGTATTTTTAGCTGGATATCAACATGCTTTTTGTGTGAATAGGATAAGTACGTATATTCATTTGGAAAGATTAATTTGTGTTTCACTGGTGTTGTCATCAGAATTTGTGGGTATGTCCATTCAGATAGATGGCAGAATTTCTGCTGGCTTCATTGACTCATCCTGTCCTAAAGCTCTCAGCTGACTTGGGATGGGCTGTTTGGAGCAGAAAACTGCCTTCACAGATAAAATCATCCTTTGAGCAAAATGGGTGCTGTATTTCAGAACTGAAGGCAAATAAGGGCCTGTTGCTTTCACCTATGTATTTTTCTATGTTGATTTTGGAAAACCATTGTTCAGTATCACAGTTGTTTCCCAAAGTCTTAGAGCTGGAATTTCATAGCTCAAGGTACTGTTCAAGCTGTGTGGGACAGTCCATTCCCTGCCTGAATAAGCATTTATCTAACATGAGAAAAAATGCAGCAAATAAATA